ACGGTCAAACGGTATCGCATATCAGCTCTGTGTGTCAGGCACTGGTCAGGTAAAACTCCGGACACTCATAAAATTGTTATTTACCTGTTCTGTTACCTTGGAGCCAAACCCATTATTGACAGCCTAGCAGGTCGCCTTAATACTGTGTAACACGCATTGTGAAATTGTATAATCTTGATTATTGTGATGAGAAATTACAGATATATACACAGTGTACATTATCGCATACAAGCCTTCCGTATTTTTGTCATTCCGTAATTTTGATCTACAAATGATACCAAATCGCACAGTTGTGCAAAGAGAAGCGCACAACGGGGCGAACGTTGCTAAATCGCACAGTTGTGCGCACCATGTGTGGACGATGTGCGGACGGTGTGTGAACGATGTATGCACGGTGTGCGCATGCTATTTTTGGTGCGTTGTGCGGTCCCACAACTGTACATAGGGTAATGTGTGGTCGTATGACGTTATCTTACATAGGGTATGATGAGGAGGTATGACGTTATCTTACATAGGATAAGATGAGGAGGTATGACGTTATCTTACATAGGGTATAGTGAGGAGGTATGACGTAATCTTACAAGGGTAATATGTGGTGGTATGATGTAATCTTACATAAGGAATTATGAGGAGGTATCCTTGATACTTCATGTCTTTTATTCCTCTCGGTGTGTCCTGCTCCACGCGCAACAACCGTCGTTGTTTATCTATTTTGTACATATCCCACTTCCGGTTCACAAGTTTCGAAAAGAGTGTCCGAATGAACTCCATGAATTGTTCAGCATTGTACGAAAGGCAGATATGTGTTTTTTGGGCAATGCCGTCGATGTAATCCTGGGCTGGATACCCTGGAACAAAACAATCAAGTACAATAGCGACAATATCATAGTACGGGGAATTGTTATCTGCCGTATGGTAAGTAAAATCAATAAAAGCACCAGTCATAAATCGTTTAGTATGTTTCTAATATATATATTCTATCCATAAATAATTTAAAATTCTATACCAAACAATAAAGGAAACCAACAACATGTTTGTTTTAGTAAGGTAGGTATACCAAGGGTAACACACAATCAGTTTGTGTTAGTGATGTAGGTATACCAAGGGTAACACACAATCTGTTTGTGTTAGTGATGTAGGTATACCAAGGTTAACACACAATATGTGGGTGTAAGTGATGTAGGTATACCACGGGTAACACACAAACTGTGGGTGTTAGTGATGTAGGTATACTAAGGGTAACACACAATATGTGGGTGTTAGTGGTGTAGGTACACCAAGGGTAACACACAAACAGTTTGTGTTAGTGATGTAGGTATACCAAGGTTAACACACAATCTGTTTGTGTTAGTGATGTAGGTATACCAAGGGTAACACACAATCTGTGGGTGTAAGTGATGTAGGTATACCACTGGTAATACACAGTTTGTGGGTGTTAGTGGTGTAGGTATACCAAGGGTAACACACAAACAGTTTGTGTTAGTGATGTAGGTATACCAAAGTTAACACACAATCAGTTTGTGTTAGTGATGTAGGTATACCACTGGTAATACACAGTTTGTGGGTGTTAGTGGTGTAGGTATACCAAGGGTAACACACAATCTGTGTATATTAAAGGGGTAGGTTTACAAAGGGTAGCACACAATTTATTTGTGTTAGTGGGGTAGGTATAGCAATTTGTTGGTGTTAGTGATATAGGTATACCACGGGTACACCGTAGCACACAATCTGTGTGTGTTAATGGGGTAGGTATAACAAGGGTAGCACACAAACTGTGGGTGTTAATGGGGTAGGTATAACAAGGGTAGCACACAATATGTGGGTGTTAGTATACAGTTAAAGTATGGGGTTGAGAGATATAGCAAGTGTCTGGTGTCCCGAGACCAGGAAATAGGCATGGTCAAGGGACACCAGAAACTTGCTATATGCATCAACCACATACTTTAACCGTTGTATTATACCGATACACACTGGAGAGATGGTTTTAACTAGAAAATATTTGTAAATCATTAGCTGTATAGCTTCACGTCCCAACTATCCTTTTGATGGCAATGGAGCCAAATTCTTCCGAGTTCGGTAGCAAGCTCCACCACCTCGCGCATCACTGCCGAGTTCGGTAACAAGCTCCGCCTAGCTCTCGCCTGATTGGCTCGGCGGAAACACCCGAGTGTAGGTGTGTTTTAGTTCCCAGACTAACACACAGGACTAAATCACACTCAGGCAAAAGTGGGGATATATTCGATTTAACCAATTACTTTTATATAGAGTAAATAAAGTAGAGGTGTAATAATGAGGTATGTATACCAAGGGTAACACACCTGTGTAAACATTTGGGAAGGTACACCAAGGGTAAAACGCAATCTGTTGGTGTTAGTGGAGTTGGTATACCAAGGTTAACACCATGTGAGTGTTACGGGGTTAGGTATACCAACGATATACTAACAATATCCTACCTCTAGGCGTGGGTGATGTTAACAATACTCTACCTCTAGGTGTAGATTATACTAACAATATCCTACCTCTAGGTGTGGGTGATACTAACAATACTCTACCTCTAGGTGGTGGTGATACTAACAATATCCTACCTCTAGGTGTGGGTGATACTAACAATATCCTACCTCTAGGCGTGGGTGATGCTAACAATATCCTATCTCTAGGCGTGGGTGATGCTAACAATATCCTACCACTAGGTGTTGGTGATGCTACCAATATCCTACCTCTAGGTGTGGGTGATACTAACAATATCCTACCTCTAAGTGTGGGTGATACTAACAATACTCTACCTCTAGGTGTTGGTGATACTAACAATACTCTACCTCTAGGTGCGGGTGATACTAACAATATCCTATCTCTTTGTGTGTGTGATTCTAACAATACTCTACCTCTAGGTGTTGGTGATACTAACAATACTCTACCTCTAGGTGTTGGTGATACTAACAATACTCTACCTCTAGGTGTGGGTGATACTAATAATACTCTACCTCTAGGTGTGGGTGATGCTAACAATATCCTATCTCTTTGTGTGGGTGATGTTAACAATACTCTACCTCTAGGTGTAGATGATACTAACAATATCCTACCTCTAGGTGTTGGTGATACTAACAATACTCTACCTCTAGGTGTTGGTGATACTAACAATACTCTACCTCTAGGTGTGGGTGATACTAACAATACTCTACCTCTAGGTTTGGTGATACTAACAATACTCTACCTATAGGTGTGGGTGATACTAGCAATACTCTACCTCTAGGTGTGGTGATACTAACAATATCCTACATCTAGATTTGGGTGATACTAACAATACTCTACCTCTAGGTTTGGGTGATACTAACAGTATCCTACCTCTTGTTGTGGGTGATACTTACAATACCCTACCTCTTGGTGTTTGATAATAAAACTATCCGACTTTGAGGTGTTGATGATACTCACCATACCCAGCTTTTTGGTGTGCCTTTATTATAGCTTTCTCATTCTGGTCAAATGATGTAAACTTGGGAAGTTTTCCGTATCTTTCAGGAAGACAATAAACAAACCGCTGAAATGTGTCCTTTTCCTTTGGTCCCCGTTTCCTCTTTCCCTGATTACTCATCACTTGTATGGCATGTAGGACTCTGGCATTGTTTACTGTGTCAGTCACGTGACTGTCTTTATGTTGACTTCCGGTGCTTTTGCTTTCGTTTACATGTAATGTCGAATATCCATGTAGACTTTGAGCGGCATACATGTTCACTGGGAACACATGAGTCGCCACATCGTCCATAATTATATCCCTTCCAGAACCAGCAATGTTTAATATATTATCATCTGACATGGAAACCTTGGATCTCTGGTCACGATCTGTCAAATGTTATAAAAATCATATAAATCAATTTCAATGTTGGAGGATTTTGAGTTTGTGGGTAATTCGAAAGACATTGTTCTTTTATACACTGAACACCGTAAACAAACGAAATCCTAGTCTTCTACGTGATAGCATCAAGTATATGGCGCCACTAACTATGACGATAATTAACATAATCTTATTTCTGAATATTTTCTTCATGTTGGTAAGCATGAATTGTATAGAGGTGCACATAGCACCATCAGCCACGGTTGATGTGTGACGTGTCCATGACTTGTGCTATATATACTTTCATTAGAGAAATGACAAGTGAAGCAAAAGATAACAAAGATGTGTGTACCGGATCACAGGGTACATGTGTGATAAGGTATTAGAACTGCGTCTTATCGTATCATTTTTATATACGGATAGATACGCAAACGTTAGATAAATAAAGCTAAAAGAATTTTTCTCTTACCGCTAAAAATATATAGTTAACAGCTGACTTTTCTCATAACTAACTGTAACTAGTATAAATATACTTCTGTCATCACATCTTGGAAAAAGATGGACTTTAGGGCCGATGTGTTGACGTATATCATCAAAAAGTGAATGTCCTCGCATGTAAACGACTGTTGAGACTGATATCGTTAGAGAACTCTTCGTTCCTGTCGGTTAGCCTAGCGGAGATCCTTCATCACCGCTATGATGCTGCTGGTAGCAGGTCTGAAGAGTCACAGTCCTTCCTGACAGTAACGAGTTGATTCATTTTGTTTTGTTATATTAGCACTGACGCTGGTCTCATTGAACACTAAATCATGATCCTGTTGGGTCGGTTAGTAATGAAGAGAACACGGTTGTTCTTATTTCTTGTTGAACACAGACTTACAATGTATCTTTTCTGATCCGAATGTTTAAGTAATTGCTATAAAATATGTACATCTGAAGTTCCTTGGTTACAGCTGCTGGCCACATCCTGACTAACCCATTCCATGTTACGTACGTTTATAAGGCCCCAACAGTATAGCATCATCCGTTCACTTAAACTTGAAACAAAATGACAATACATTTAGTTGATAGTCCTCGGTGTATAGTATGCTGGAGGTTTGAGTGTCCTTCAACTGAGCGGCGGTTCCTAAACTATCTCAACAAACAATAGCACTAGTATATATATTAAATTTCTACCGTGTAAACAACTGATATTCCTTAAATATCTTACCAAACATATTGCTACAAATAGCTACTGATCTGTACTCACCTCAGCCCCAAATCTACGAAAATATCATGCTGTGACACGATTGTATTTGAGAAGAATGGCGATGTGCTGTAGTTAGTCGTGCCATAATACACAGCCTTAGGCTGGCGGACACTACCAGACGCTGTTTGATAATTATATTTCGAGGTCACTATGGCAACGCAGCACTATTGTAAATTACATTTAAGTAGCAGACGACATAAAAGCAGACTAAAAGCAGACTAACACAGGGCTACGTGGAATAGTTTTATCGATTATACCAGTATACCAGCAAACAAGGTATACCACGCGGTAGTCGGTACAGGATCCAGGCTGTTTCTCACTTCATCGTATTTATTGATAACAGATTTACAGTCAGTGACATATATGGCAGGCGCATTGTTACAGAAGCAACACTTCTACAACCGTCTACAGCAATCCTGGGGGTGGGGGTNTCCTACAGCAGGTCGGGGGAGGAGGGGGGGCGAGATATTGAGGGAGATTTATTTATGTTTTGTATGTAATCGTGGGGCGGAGTGTTTCCTACAGATTTGTATTTCCTACAGCAGGTCGGGGGAGGAGGGGGGGCGAGATATTGAGGGAGATTTATTTATGTTTTGTATGTAATCGTGGGGCGGAGTGTTTCCTACAGATTTGTATTTCCTACAGCAGGTCGGGGGAGGAGGGGGGGCGAGATATTGAGGGAGATTTATTTATGTTTTGTATGTAATCGTGGGGCGGAGTGTTTCCTACAGATTTGTATTTCCTACAGCAGGTCGGGGGAGGAGGGGGGGCGAGATATTGAGGGAGATTTATTTATGTTTTGTATGTAATCGTGGGGCGGAGTGTTTCCTACAGATTTGTATTTCCTACAGCAGGTCGGGGGAGGAGGGGGGGCGAGATATTGAGGGAGATTTATTTATGTTTTGTATGTAATCGTGGGGCGGAGTGTTTCCTACAGATTTGTATTTCCTACAGCAGGTCGGGGGAGGAGGGGGGGCGAGATATTGAGGGAGATTTATTTATGTTTTGTATGTAATCGTGGGGCGGAGTGTTTCCTACAGCACGTAGGAGGTACTTATCTATAAGTTATTGGGGAACCGTATGTCCCTCGTCCTGCTCTAGAAATGAAACACCCATACCCCCAAATACATATAAGTACATCCGACCAGTCTGGGAAACAGACAGCATCCCCAGATTATCTTAACATTTCAAATGCAATGAAAAACTACGAGAAATACATTGAATTATTTATCTAAATTATTTATTTAATATTTATCAAAATGGACTAGATAACAGTAGTCAGGGCATAATAATGACATGGCTTTTTGTAAATATTGAGAGCGTCTTGGCGTATCCTTCCTTGTAATATAGTACGTACAGACGTACAGGTAAATTAGTGACAAGGTTTTTCTAATCTTTACGGAATCTCGCGGTCTAGTTGACTACGTCACGGAATCTCTCGGACTAGTTGACTACATATACAATGTACCTCACGCCTTATCTGATCAGGCCGGTGATCTGTTGTAACCTAACGGCGGGAGACAGTTCTGACCCAAAAGGTAGGCACCTCGATCCGGATCCGTTAAAGGCGTTATGGCGGGTCAAACGTTGCAATATTCAATAATTTTATATTTTTATCATTGTTTATATGTGTCCAATACTTTATAATTGTAACTTTATGTTCAATAAAATGTTTATGTTCAATAATAAAAATATGCATTATAAGTGCAATATAATACAATTTATTTGTATGCAATACGATGTATATATGTTCGAAAACATATATATATGTGCAATAGAAATATTTGTATTCAATAAAAATGAATTCAGTAAAATGTTTATGTGAGATACAAGTGTATTTATGAGCTATACAAATAGATCTATTCCCCGATAAATTTGCGTTGTGGGATAGCCTCGTAAGACCTCATCGTCAGCTTGTTGTAACGTCGTGTTTGATGAACAACTGTGAAATGGACTGAATCGTCCAAACGCTTTTAGAGTTAAATAGAGTTTTTTAAACGACTTGATCCCGAGGAGAAGTTAGGCCATCCAGCATATTCAGTTTAAAGACTACAGCTACAGACTGTAAGTTTAAACGACGATGAGTTTATCAAATTGTTTTATAAAATGGAATCGATATCTACCGATGTCAGACAGTTCTTATCTATGACATAATGCAGGGGCGGGTCCAGCAGTTTGGTACTGCTAGAGACAAAGGGGCCGAAGTACAGAAAGCGAGAAGCTTCACTTAGTGGTTCCATGGACATGTCTCTCTCCCAAAATGAAAATATGGAATAATAAAACCTAAGCATAATAAATTCAACATTAAAATACTATTCAAAAAGTTAACTGATAGCACCACAGGTCCCTGGGAATCATTTACTTTATATACTTAATAGTTAATTCGTTTGGTATGTATATTTCATTGATAAGTATACTACAGAACAAGTCCTTTGTGCAATGACCGGCTTTCCCCAATAATTACATATATTTTCTTTATTTCATGTTATTGAACTATAAATATACAAGCACAATTTTCTTGGTCAACGGTTGTTCTATCAAACTTTCTGTAGGTCTGGAGCATTCTGGTACTGTATGACCTCATAGACCTACTGAAATGTTTCAGAAGAAGTTATTTAATGGTTTTACTACAAAGTGGACCAATGTAGCCTTGAATATGAGTTTAAGTCTTTTATTAAAAAAAAAAATGATAGCGTTACATCACAGAATGTTAAAAAAGTTTTTAAAATGCTTTATTACACATCTGACCAATGTTACCTTTTAGCAGGTCAAGCTAATTTACTTTGCAACTATGCCGAGCTCCTGTCGAAAGATGAATGGATGCCACCCCACGGCATAAGCCTCATTGAACACAGAAACCAATGGTGCACTCCAGTCTCCACTGATACTGAAGCCTATTCGGGGCAATCCCGGGGACCCTCTCGGACATCTTTAGTTATCTATCACATTCATGGTTTTATAGATATTGCTGTTATTTGACAATCCGGATAGTTATAAATGCATTATTTATTTTCTTCTTTAGAATTCGAACGACAATTAAACATACATTATTACCAGTGTAGGCACGCACACACACACACACACACACACATATATATATACCTGGTTTTATAGGATAATTTTATGTAAATACCGATTCATATTAGTATATATCGATTTTACTTTCTGAAACAATGTGATAATCTCATCGCTGTTTAATTAACTTACAGTCTGTAAAAATGTAGCTGTAGTTATTTAACAGAACAGGCTGGATGGTCAAACTGCTCCTTATGATCAAATCGTTCCAAAAAACATTTACAAATCTAAAAGCGCTTGAACGATTCAGTCCTTTTCACAATCGTCCAATTAAACACGCCGTTACAGCAAGCTGCCAATGAGGCCATGTGATGCTATCCCACAGTGCAAATTATCGATAGAAATGTTTCCTATTGCATATACATATTTATATCGACCACATACAAATTGTATTGAATATACGTGTATATATTTTTATCAAATACAAATACTTGTATTGCACATAAAAATGTATATTTATTTTCGAACATATATTTTATTGATTATAAACATATTTTATTGCACAATTTTTTAAACATAAATATATTTATTACACATGTAATAGGAGAAAGACCTCAAGCGTGCCTCGCACTGTCCATTATCTTGACTATTCCACAGTTTGAGGTGTTTCTCATACTTAAATCATGGCATCATAAAAACTCCTTTCACGGCTGTTACACAGGTATACAGGGTATTGTTTAACTATTCCACTGGTCATGTAATCCTTCCAGGCCCGTTCACTTGTTTACTCTCACTATGAAAGGCAGGCATCATGCTTTGCATACAATTTTGAATGTTTCACAGACACACTGGTGTTTCCATTGAAACAAAGTCGGTTTAGTTTTGACTGTGGAACATGGAGGATACTAGCAGTGACTAACATTTTAAACCACCACTAACTTTGACCTAAAAGGTGATATATTTTCTGACATTTCAAGCACAAGTGAATCAGAAGAAGAGCCTGTGATTTTGTGGAGAAAGGAAATATTAATCTTAAATTTTAATAATGATAAAATTGAAAGCCATCTAAAGAATACTGCATCCCAAATATACCATTGCAAAATCTGATTGAACAGCTCGATATTTGAGGCATGAAAAGCTGAAAGTCGTTTAATTTAACAGCCCGATATTTGAGGCATGGAAGCTGATAGTCGTTTGATTGAACAGCCCGATATTTGAGGCATGAAAGCTGATAGTCGTTTAATTGAACAGCCCGATATTTGAGGCATGGAAGCTGATAGTCGTTTGATTGAACAGCCGGATATTTGAGGCATGAAAAGCTATAATAGTCGCCAAAAGGCTGAAGCAGAAGAAACCAAGCGTAAAGGAAGCTTATGATTATGTCTGATAAAGATCTTGATGCCAGTTAAGGGAAATTGGATTAGAGTATCGAGAGAATAGCATGTATGAAACTGTTGAAGGTATTCAGTATCGTCCGAAACTGGAATGTTAATAATATTGTTATTTCCCTATTCAGGGTACAAATAAACATAGATTGTGAATTGCCTTACGGATTACTAGATACAGTGTTAATGAATTGGTTTTCCCCCCCAGTTGAGACATTGTTTCAAATAAAAAAGCAACTTTTAACTTTATGTTTGTTTTATATTTTACTCCCAAGTTTAGATAATACTTGTATTGCCACCTTCTACTGTGGAATAGTTCATAGTTTTACTGTGGAATAGTATACAGTTATTGTATGGTTGTGAGGGATTTAGCACTTTTATTATCCCCCGAGATATTAACTATTTACCGAGTCGAAGCCGAGTGAAACAGTTAATGTCAAGGGGGACAATAAAAGTGCTATTTCCCGAAATACCCATAATATAACTGTTTTATTATTCCAATTTCCTGCAAAACTCGCCCGGTTGTTTTGCAAACGAAGTACGTCTGATTCGTCTGGGTCTCGGAAACGCTTACGGACTTTATCGTATTGTATGCGATGGAAGTAGAGATGTCCCGAAGGATTATGACAAACGCAATATCCAAACAGAATGAACGAAACCAAAAATTCCGCGAAAATTTGAATGCAGATTAAATGGCTCATTCCGGGTAAATAGCTCTAATGACTATTTACCTTGTAAACAGCTCCTTGAAAGAGGTTATTTTGAATAGCATTGCTATTTTCTACCAGTAAAATGTAACTATTCCACAGTAGTAGGCGATAATAATAGATATGCCTCAACTATGTCACAGCCATGTTTAAATTGCAATTATTGAATACATATATACAATTTCGTACATAATAGAAACTTAATAGAAAACATATCTTAGATTGTATTTTATACTGTGATGATATATCAATACATTATTTTATTCTGTGATGATATATCAATACATTATTTTATTCTGTAATGATATATCAATACCTGATTTTATACTGTGATGATATATCAATACATGATTTTATACTGTGATGATATATCAATACATTATTATATTCTGTGATGATATATCAATTCATTATTTTATTCTGTGATGATATATCAATACATGATTTTATACTGTGATGATATATCAATACATGAATTTCAAATGATAAGTGATAATAACCTTTCCTACATTATAACGCTATGTATTACACTGCAGAAATGCCTCAGATCGTACCAGAACGTTTCTAGATTTCGATCTCCCCCGGAGGTCCCCCGGAGGTCCCCCCGGAGGTCCCCCGGAGGTCCCCCCGGAGGTCCCCCGGAGGTCCCCCGGAGGTCCCCCGGAGGTCCCCCCGGAGGTCCCCCGGAGGTCCCCCCGGAGGTCCCCCGGAGGTCCCCCGGAGGTCCCCCGGAGGTCCCCCCGGAGGTCCCCCGGAGGTCCCCCCGGAGGTCCCCCGGAGGTCCCCCGGAGGTCCCCCGGAGGTCCCCCCGGAGGTCCCCCGGAGGTCCCCCGGAGGTCCCCCGGAGGTCCCCCCGGAGGTCCCCCGGAGGTCCCCCGGAGGTCCCCCGGAGGTCCCCCCGGGGGTCCCCCGGAGGTCCCCCCGGAGGTCCCCCGGAGGTCCCCCGGAGGTCGCCCGGAGGTCCCCCGGAGGTCCCCCCGGAGGTCCCCCGGAGGTCCCCCGGAGGTCCCCCCGGAGGGCCCCCGGAGGGCCCCCGGAGGTCGCCCGGAGGTCGCCCGGAGGTCCCCCGGAGGTCCCCCGGAGGTCCCCGGAGGTCCCCCGGAGGGCCCCCGGAGGTCCCCCGGAGGGCCCCCCGGAGGTCCCCCGGAGGTCCCCCGAGGTCCCCCGGAGGCCCCCCGGAGGCCCCCCGGAGGTCCCCCGAGGTCCCCCGGAGGCCCCCCGGAGGCCCCCCGGAGGTCCCCCGAGGTCCCCCGGAGGGCCCCCGGAGGTCCCCCCGGAGGGCCCCCGGAGGGCCCCCGGAGGTCGCCCGGAGGTCGCCCGGAGGTCCCCCGGAGGTACCCCCGGAGGTCCCCCGGAGGTCCCCCGGAGGGCCCCCCGGAGGTCCCCCGGAGGTCCCCCGGAGATCCCCCCGGAGGTCCCCCGGAGGTCCCCCGGAGGTCGCCCGGAGGCCCCCCGGAGGTCCCCCGAGGTCCCCCGGAGGGCCCCCGGAGGTCGCCCGGAGGTCCCCCGGAGGTCCCCCGAGGGCCCCCGGAGGTCCCCCGGAGGTCCCCGCGGAGGTCCCCCGAAGGGCCCCCGGAGGTCCCCCGGAGGTCCCCCGGAGATCCCCCCGGAGGTCCCCCGGAGGTCCCCCGGAGGTCGCCCTGAGGTCCCCCGGAGGTCCCCCGGAGGGCCCCCGGAGGGCCCCCGGAGGTCGCCCGGCGGTCGCCCGGAGGTCCCCCGGAGGTCCCCCGGCGGTCCCCCCGGAGGCCCCCCGGAGGTCCCCCGGAGGTCGCCCGGAGGTCCCCCGGACGTCCCCCGAGGGCCCCCGGAGGTCCCCCGGAGGTCCCCGCGGAGGTCCCCCGGAGGTCCCCCGGAGGTCCCCCGGAGGTCCCCCGGAGGTCGCCCGGAGGTCCCCCGGAGGTCCCCCGAGGTCCCCCGGAGGTCCCCCGGAGGTCCCCCGGAGGTCCCCCGAGGTCCCCCGGAGGTCGCCTCTGAGGGCTGCAGTGCTCGCACATGGGCTTTCTGCTTATTCGTTATTTACTTACCTTTTGGAGACCAAAGATAAGTTTCATATTTACCCCATATGTCTCCTGGGTTTATTTATCTGACATTGTGCATGTTAAGTCTGTTATCTGACCGTCTGAGTGCGTGTGACATATCAAAATTTAGGGTTTATATTTCGGATAAACAAATCAACGTTGATATTGAAAATTACTAGTATACAGTGAAATTGAACAAAACATTAACACATGAAAAAATTATCACTAAATATCATGATCAATATTCTACACTATGTCATTACCGTAACACTACACTACATACAATTTACAGTCAAATATAGTATTACATTTACGTTACATTTCATTTAGATTGCATTCATCGAATAATACAATACGAAATACAATTCATTAAATACATTTCAAATAAAATCAGCAAAATAGCACAATCAATTTTTAGTAATATTAGAATGAAACTAAAACAGTTAAAAGCAGTTTTATGTATAAAATGCCAATTTCAGCAATACATTACATTGACTTATCACCCAATACAGATACATGAAAACTGTCAACAGGCAACTGAACATTTACATTACATTTCGAGTACACAATAGTCAAAAGAATAATTTTAATAAATAATTTACCTAGTTAAAACACTTTCATCTCATGTCTAGCAGTCTACCACAATAAAGTATATGTACTAAATATTCATTGAAATCTATTCCAAAGGCATGAGATGGCAGCGTTACCGTACTCTATACCATCTCATTGTATGGGTCAAGGCGCTCTCTCAGCTGAAAAAGTATCTTTTCTGTTTAATACAATAAACTGTTAAACACCAAACTATCAGTCAGAAATGTTTCTCACTTGGTTTTCTAGGAATATTCATCAGTAATGAAACTACAAAAATAATATTTATTTATATCTAATACTTTATGAATATTTTAGACATTTCATTACATATTTTATACTCATGTCGTTTATGTTATGCGATCAAGTTTGAAAATTAATATAAAACATTAATAATTCGAAACATTTTGTAAAATTTCATACCAGCTCCTCAATGAAAAAAAGTGTTTTTTATTTTTTTATAAAAGTTTGATATTCTCTTGATTTCTTCCATTTTTTAAGAGTACACAAATGGAATAATGCAAAAGTATTTACATTAAACCATTCTACATTGAAAACACATGAACACCAAATATCCACCATACAGCAAAGTTACCGTTGGAACAACAATTCGTACATTTTATCGACAGCTACAAAATGTACATGTACTACATGTACTGATTCAAATCAAAATATCTTCCCTTCTGTTTCGATTCATAAGTGATTTGTCCCCCAATTGAAATATGTATCAATATGTCTGTGAGAGAATGAGGAAAACACCCAGTAGTGTGACTGTTGTTCTGTATCAGAGCACCACAACTGTTTGTCTGAAGGATACTACACTATAATAGTATATGAGCTACTAAATCCTGGTCAGCAACACCGTATTTATGATATACACTCCCTAATTTTATCAGTACGAATTCTGTTTATTATTTTCATAACATCATTTACCGATACTTTATACTCTGGGAATTTCGTTTGCAACTTTCCTTAGTACATTTACATGTATATTAGGATGTAATATGTTACGAACTTATAATTAGTATGATAAAATCGCTATCACGTTGCCATGCATTTCTTTTAATTGAGTTCCTCATTCAATAAGTTAGTTTTTTTTATCATTTACATTTTCAACATACTATCAAAATTGTACTTTTGCAAAATTTTTGAAAACGTCATATAAAACATTAAAATTGCCCAAAAGATCTACTCAGCTTTGATGCATGTAGTCTTCCGAACTATGATATTTCATCGAAACGAATTAACCTTAAAAACACAACTTACTTATAATCTCTATCATATTCAGGTTCAGATTCTGTATTAGCCAAGATCAATACGAAAGGTAGGCACGACAATAATACACGTACATACATGTTGTATATGCATGCATAAACACAATAATTGTAAATAATTAGTAATAAACGGGGATGATTGGGTATAATTTAAGCTATACACGTGTAGTTTTCCGTTGATGTCCTATTCGTGTTCATAAGAAATTGGTTTGTTTGATAGGTTTGCCAGCAGTCATTTGATTTCTCACAGCAGGGTGTGTACCACTCCTAATTCAACTGATTGTACCACTCTTCAACCTGCTGCAAGCATGCATTTTATTGTACGTTAGTATGTTAAGAGTTCATCATTTAGCACGATACTAACGTGAACAATATACTCCACTTTTAGTATAATGTTGTCATTTAAATAAAACTAGGTGGTGGTTTTACAGTTCCCTGCCTATTAAAACACATAATCTTACCTATGTTGGGAAACAAAAATCTCCATTTCTTACTACATTATTATAATCCTCACACATCTTTAGTATATTATCGAAATCGGTACGATTATTATTTCCGAGATATATATCATCAGCTTAAGTGGGTATAATATATTTACTGTGATGTCGATTATCATTGATACCTTATCACTCTGTTCAATAGTATTCAGCAACTGATTAATAAACACACGTAATCTCTCTCACTTGGTTCGCAGAACGTTTAACCGTCATACCTTATTTCAGTCTCTGTATCTTGTGACACAGATTTACTTATCTTATATATAAGCCATATCATTTCTTCAACTCGTTCTCCTGACCTGTGCTTTGCCATCCTTATATTCTCTATAACTGTCTACAGTAGGTTATCTAGGTTGACATTCATTTTTACTTTTTTGATGCATAATTCAGCTTACCTCATTTAACTCCTGATTCCAATAAGATTTAAGCGGATACTTTATAGATTTTACTTTCAGGAATGAAAGTTGGATGCTTTCATTATGCACTGAGCGACATTGTGTTAGAAAAACTTAATGTCATTGTTACTGTTATCTAGTGCTGCTAATTATGATAAAATATCATACAGAGCGATTCAGTACTTCTCAGTACATGTATTGTGTACCCCTTGGATACTCTCCAATTGAATCTATCGAATTTACTCCAGTCTACACGCTGTAGAGGGATGCTATATACATATCACAAAACTGTGCTCGAATACATTAAAATCAAAGTCGTTTAAAACGCATAAATGTCATCACAAGATCGAACACACTGGAAACTCTATCGATATACAATGTGTGGTATGTTCCAGTATTTAACTCCATTTGTGGCCTAAATGAAGGTATTTTCAAATATTTTGAACCTTTACAGATAAAATTTTGTCAAAAGTTTCAACATTTTGTATGATATGAAACATTAATAGTGTACAACCAAAGTAACTTCAAACCCTTAGATGACACTGTTAATCACAGGTACAAAACAGTAATCTATTATCAAACCTTAGGTGGTACTGTTAATCACATGTACAATACAGTAATCTACTATCAAACCTTAGATGGTACTGCTAATCACAGGTACAATACAGTAATCTACTTTCAAACCTTAGGTGGTACTGTTAATCACATGTACAATACAGTAATCTACTATCAAACCTTAGATGGTACTGCTAATCACAGGTACAATACAGTAATCTACTTTCAAACCTTAGGTGGTACTGTTAATCACATGTACAATACAGTAATCTACTATCAAACCTGAGGTGGTACTGTTAATCACAGGTACAATAAAGTAATCTACTATCAAACCTTAGGTGGTACTGTAAATCACAGGCACAATACAGTAATCTACTATCAAACCTTAGATGGTACTGCTAATCACAGGTACAATACAGTAATCTACTCTCAAACCTTAGGTGACACTGTTAATCACAAGTACAATACAGTAATCTACTATCAAACCTGAGGTGGTACTGTTAATCACAGGTACAATACAGTAATCTACTATCAAACCATAGGTGGTACTGTTAATCACAGGTACAATAAAGTAATCTACTATCAAACCTTAGGTGGTACTGTAAATCACAGGTACAATACAGAAATCTACTATCAAACCTTAGGTGGTACTGTTAATCACAGGTACAAAACAGTAATCTACTATCAAACCTTAGGTGGGACTGTTAATCACAGGTACAATACAGTAATCCACTATCAAACCTTAGATGGTACTGTTAATCACAGGCACAATACAGTAATCTACTATCAAACCTTAGATGACACTGTTAATCACAGGTACAAAACAGTAATCTATTATCAAACCTTAGGTGACACTGTTAATCACAAGTACAATACAGTTATCTATTATCAAACCTTAGGTGACACTGTTAATCACAGGTCCAATACAGTAATCTACTATCAAAACTTAGGTGATACTGTTAATCACAGGTACAATACAGTAATCTACTATCAAACCTGAGGTGGTACTGTTAATCACAGGTACAATAAAGTAATCTACTATCAAACCTTAGGTGGTACTGTAAATCACAGGCACAATACAGTAATCTACTATCAAACCTTAGATGACACTGTTAATCACAGGTACAATACAGTAATCCACTATCAAACCTTAGATGGTACTGTTAATCACAGGCACAATACAGTAATCTATTATCAAACCTTAGATGGCACTGTTAATCACAGGTACAACACAGTAATCTACTATCAAACCTTAGGTGGCACTGTTAATCACAGGTACAACACAGTAATCTACAAGCAAACCTTAGGTGGTACTGTTAATCACAGGGACAATACAGTAATCTACTATCAAACCTTAGATGGTACTGCTAATCACAGGTACAATACAGTAATCTACTATCAAAACTTAGGTGGTACTGTTAATCACAGGTACAATACAGTAATCTACTCTCAAACCTTAGGTGACACTGTTAATCACAAGTACAATACAGTAATCTACTATCAAACCTGAGGTGGTACTGTTAATCACAGGTACAATAAAGTAATCTACTATCAAACCTTAGGTGGTACTGTAAATCACAGGTACAATACAGTAATCTACTATCAAACCTGAGGTGGTACTGTTAATCACAGGTACAATAAAGTAATCTACTATCAAACCTTAGGTGGTACTGTAAATCACAGGCACAATACAGTAATCTACTATCAAACCTTAGATGGCACTGTTAATCACAGGTACAATACAGTAATCCACTATCAAACCTTAGATGGTACTGTTAATCGCAGGTACAATACAGTAATCTACTATCAAACCATAGGTGGTACCGTTAATCACAGGTACAATACAGTAATCTATTATCAAACCTTAGATGGCACTGTTAATCACAGGTACAACACAGTAATCTACTAGCAAACCTTAGGTGGTACTGTTAATCGCAGGTACAATACAGTAATCTACTATCAAAGCGGAGGTGGTACTGTTAATCACAGGTACAATACAGTAATCCACTATCAAACCTTAGATGGTACTGTTAATCACACGTACAATACAGTAATCTACTATCAAACCTTAGGTGGTACTGTTAATCACAGGTCTACTATCAAACATGTGATATGCTGCCCACCAACACTCTTTGGCTGATGTTTGTATAGTCTAGTTTCTGTATCAACTATTTTCAAAAAAAGAAAGAAAATGATATGCAATTATCAATGTATACATATATTTTATCATTACTACACTAATCTGAGCGTAAACTGTATATTACTGTAAGAAGAGGGCGCTCATGGGCTTTGCCTGTTGCCCAGTTCCTTTGTACCCAAGATCTGAAGAATAAATATTCTGAAATGAAGATATTATTCATAAAAGAAATTGAAACTGAGACGAATCCCACGAATTAAAAGAAGTAAAGCTAGTTACTATGGAAACAGCATATGTTGAACAAACATGACATGTCATTTTCAGTAAATTATAAAACAAACATTCGATCTGTCACTATGAATATTGCACGTGTAATACACGTGTTATATGAAAACAGTTTTCATCATTACATTATTTCCACTGATTTTTTCCAGAGTTCGTGCCGGTAATAATTATTTACAGAAGTAAAGAAATTATTGTTGAGTTTACAAATAAATACATTTCGAATACAATTCAAATACAACCATGGGCATTCAATTTTCTCCCCCTCCCCCTGGTCGTTAGTTATTTCATTCAGACATGAAATATAGCATTAAGGATGACAACTCGATGTGATTATGTTGATGGTTGTTCGGTTTGCCGGCGTCGTGTATTTGACAATCCAAGCATTACGACATATTCTACGTAAGACTACCTTCCTATTAATCTTTTTTTCCAGATGTATAAGCTCTGGTGTTTATGCTGTGTCATTCTACTCAATGACGTCACATACGGATTCATCTTTGGTGATCAACATAGCGCCTCAGGACCACGTGATGCCTTGGCCCAAACCTCTTGCGGCCCAGTCAGAGGTAAGTTCGATGGTAACGCCTATGCTTACCGAGGAATACCGTACGCCGTGCCTCCTGTACGGACCAAACGCTGGCAGCCGCCGGAGCCACTAAGTCACGAGGACGGTACCTGCTGGCCAGGTACGTTCGATGCTTCCGTGTTGAAATCGCAGTGTGTACAGCGCCAGGAGGACGACCTGACTCAGGTAGTTGGTACGGAGGATTGTCTACATCTCAACGTCTGGACCCCGACGAACATGATGTCGGCTAACCTTTCCGTCATGGTTTTTATCCACGGTGGATCGCTACAGATTGGAAACGGTGACATGCCAGGATATGCCCCAACCGAGCAGCTGGCACGTGACACCAACACCGTCTACGTCAGCATGAACTACCGTCTGCAGGCGTTCGGCTTCATGTCCTTGGATATACTGTCACGGAACTCCAAAACCAACACTTCCGGTAACTATGGACACATGGACCAGATACTAGCGCTGAAATGGGTACAAGAAAATATCCGGAATTTTGGTGGAGATCCAAACAAGGTGAGCTTTTCATTAGTTGGTCAAATGTTAAACTATGTTTTATTTTTTTTTCCTCCAACATACGGGATATCTTAGCAAACATTTGTTTCCTAGATATAAGATAATATCCTTCATTCTTGTTCGTTCTAAGGTTACCCTGTTTGGTCAGAGTTCAGGTGCTACCAGTGTGATGGTCCTACTTACCTCTCCACTGGCGCAAGGGTTGTTCCACAGGGCTTGGCTGCTTAGTGCGTCACCTCTACTGACCAAAACCAAAGTTGGAGCTGCCATAGACAATATGGTTTTCCTTAAAAAAACCAACTGTGACAACATCACGTGCCTATTACAGATGTCTGCCAATGACGTCACACAAGCGGTGCCCTGGAACGAGTACCCATTCTGGGCCATGATGGATCAAATAGACCTGCCAGTTAGGGGACAGCTTGACGGAGGACTGTCTATAATAGACGGTATGATTTGAGCAAGTTGTTCAAGTGCTTTGAAACATTGCATTTAATCATAAGAAACTACCCTCGATACTCCAGTGGTTACGCTCGCTTACGCTCTCTGTACCCCTGAAATATGTCATAACAAGGCACGGAAATAGTTGTTTAAATAGTCTCAGGTAAAAACATCACCCTGACTGATGACTAAAACATGATGTGTTAGTAATGATAGATGATTATAGGAATAGGACTATTATTACATGGTTTTGTAATTTTTTCGAGACGAATTATCGCAGTTAAAGGGCCTGTCACGCCTAGCCGATTTGGGTCGCCGGAGTTATACCGGAGCAAAAATAGCGATTTTCTTGGATCGGTACTAGAACGGCAGCGCAACAGTATCACATCGCTAAAAACGGTAGTACATCGGCAGGACATCGTCAGAACATCGGCAAAAAATTAAGCAGGCGACGGTAGAATGTTTTGAACATGCTCAAAAATGGCCGCCGTTGCGCTGCTGGAGCAAGCAACGGGACTGCAATGGCAGCACAGGGGCAGTACTCCAGTATGGCTTCGTTAAAACCTCAGTCACATTTGCGCCGATTTCCGGAAAGGCGCCTGGGCGAAGAGATTTTCGGCCAAAATCGGTCGGCAAGTCGGGGAACCGTAAGGACGCCGGGAGATTTTTAAACGCCGCACGGGTCGCCAGGAGCATTTAGCACAGAGATAAATGTTGCCGGTGTCCGCCCGAATTGTGTCTGACCCAAACTCATCGGAACTTACCCGGCAGTCTCCCGTAAGGCATCGTACTGTCATCGTGGGATTTTGTACAATTTTACATGCTCCAAGGTGTCGTGTAGACCGCCCGATGTCCGGACGGATGCCGTACGGCAATCGTTAAGGTACCCACCCGATGTCCTCAAACTGTGCGGTGTCCGTAGGATATTCGCGGCCGGTGACCGCCCGATATCCGGACGGGCATCGGCCGATACTTCCGGCGCCCGGACGGGACACATACGGGCATCTGCAGGCGCCATTTTCTCACGGACGAGCTAAGTGTTGATTTGTGTGCTTCCCTATATATACACGCCATATAAAATATCGTACGGGCGGGATACCTATTCCGTATGTATCCCGCCCGTCACAAGAACATTTTCCGGCTACTGTACGACAGCCTGGCCATCGTCAGATAGCATTGCGGTAGCATTGCGATAGTCTTACGGGTTCCCTACGGTATTCTTTAGATGTCCGTTCGATTTAATCCGGCAAATTGTTTGCGGTGGCCCTGCGATGCCCATATCTAATGTGACCATACTCACGGCAAATCCGAGACATCGGAAAAAAGTCCCCGGCGCCAGGGACGCCGGGAAGCCGGCCGATTCCTACTTCCCGGCCGGCGGCCAGCGCAAATGTGACTGAAGCATATATAATGTCGGTAGAGCACCGGTAGCGCCCCGCACTGGATCGGCGGCTCTCCGGTGGCCTCAATGTGTACCGTACTGGTACAATGTACCGATGTGATACCGTAGTACTACCGATTACCACGAAAGTAATACTACTGCGCTGCCGATTGACTAACGACAGAAAAGTGGTATTCGGTAGCATATCGGTAACGGTATCGCAACGGGGACTTTTTTGCAAAGTGCTTTCGTACCGGAGCTCTGCCGATTTTTTCGCCGTGGTTAAGTTTTTGCTCCGGTTTAAAATTCAATACACAAAAAAGACACAAATATTTGCCAACTGGTTATGCATTAGCTGGTAGATGATATATGAATGTACATGTGCATGTAGTTAAAAAAATCAGTTGCAATCTACTAAAAAAAACGTCCAGTACCTATAATGACTCGCTAAACCATCTCTGAAATACTTATATTCATCTTGATATCATGTCTTTGATATCCGTTTAGAACCAGGGTCGTATTATTTAGATTGGAAATTGAGTCTAGGAGAAGTTGGCTATTGTAGAGACGCCAATGCAAAAAGAAGTTATCACAATCCTTAATCAATTTCTTAATTGACAAAGAGTAATGTTTATTTTACCCAGTCAGGGAAAATATTTCTGTCTTATCCAATGGTAAAGAAGAGGGTTTTCCCCCTTCTCATAGCATCTGTATGGGTCATGTCAACAATGCATCGACGTCACGTCGACAAAAGCTGATCACGGCAGATTACCCATTGTGGTAGCTAGAAACAATGCAATCAACGCTTGTGTTTAATTCAAATACTCTTGTATATAAAATTCCAGAAAAAAATATTTTCCCACTTTGAGAGAAAGACATAACAAAACATCTATCCGCGGGGTAAGATTCTAATGTTTGGCCCTCGGCAAAGTCTCGAACTAGACATTTTAGAATCATACACCTTAGATGAAATATTCTTGCCTTATCAAGGTGGGGGAACATTAAATAAGTCTCGCCCTAGAGTTGTGACGGAGGGTGACCTCATTCATAACAATTGTATGACGTCACGTCAACAATACGTAGAGCAAGTATCGTCAACATTGCATTATGCATGCGACAGGGTCCCTATCCTACACCCCTGAACATGAAAATGTCTTACGAGGTTTTAATCGAAAGATGCATGGCATCATTTTTACATTACAAATCTCCGATTTATATGCAATGTTTCATAACCATCTGAAGAATATCTTGGAAGCAAAATTTCTCATTTTCAATAGAAAAATGTTTACTAGGGGAAAGCAATGGCTGGCAAGACGATAAAAGCCAGAGGGAAAATTAGGATCCTGAGATTGGATGAATAATGAAGATATTGTTACTTTGTTACCTGTTACTGTACACGCGATCTCATGTCTCCCTCACAGGTTACTGTACACGTGATCTCCTTCGTTCTTCACAGGTTACGTCCTCAAGGAGGCTCCGTTTGACGCCTGGGTTAAAGGGCACGGTAATGACGTACCAGTAATAGTAGGTATGTATTAAAGTTTAGACGAGAATCCGAACAAAATTGCTTTTAAGAAAGAAAAAATCATTATTTGTTATTTTCGGGAGGGTATCATTACAGCAATAAAATAAATTGAATTTTTGTAGCATAATGTGTAAAGGCACAAATGATTCCGTACCCCAGCAAATACACAAATGTATTCAATTATCTCAATTATCCCAAATAAGAGTTGCTAGGTCTATAAACCATACCAGCTCAATTGTTATATTATTTGTTTGGAACATAATTACTCTTGCCCTTGTATTTTACGAGATAGGGGAAGTAAGAAGTGTTTGTTTTGTTTTTAATTGTAGGGACTACAGCACAGGAGAATGACTTTGAAGGGATTCCCGATGAAATCGTGAATAAATCTACATATGAGACATACGTAATGCGTAAAATTGGCTCATTTGGAAGCGACATTGCAAAGATGGCGTTGAGACTGTATCCGGTGGGTAAGGAGACAGTCAGACATCAGTTCACGTCCATGGTGTCTGACGTCCGTGTAGGCTGTGGAAACGACCTTCTGGCACTGTATGCTGCCGTCAACACCAATTCCCCTGTGTACCGCTACGTCGTGACTTCCGTACCTTCTGCGCCAGTCAGTCCGTTCGGAATCGCCTTGGACACGCTCCTATCATTTCATGGATGGGACGGGTACGCATTTTTCGGAACAATGCAAGAAATAATGTCCCATCCTTCTGGCAACGATATAATGTTTGAGGCAAATCTTCGCAGAGAAATTATGTCTTTTGTTGAAAGCGGAAGTCCGTATTCAAAGGACTGGCATCCTTTTCCTGAAAGTGTGGTACTTCTGTCAGACGACACTAAAGTCACTTCCGGTTACCACACCTATCATTGCAATTTTTGGATGGAAAATGGTTTCTTTGATTATTCATGGGTAAACTAAAAGATAGAACAATAAATTAAACATCCTTTGCTTTATGGAATAGTCTGTTGTTTTTATCCATATTGTAGGTTTTATTTTTAATACTTTTGATCATTTCGACATTAAATAATTAAGTACTTAAAATAGATCATTTCGATTAAATCGAAAGTTGGTATCGGCCCTAAGTTAAAGAAAAACAAAACATTATATGTAGTCACATGGAAACTGTGACAACTATTACGGAGTTGTTGAACAAGTGGAACACGGATCCTGTTTTTCCCCATAGCAAGTATACGTTTCTCACTCCCAACTCATAAGATAAACCTGCTAGCAGTTGGTGAACATTTTTGGTTACCCCCTAGTGGATACATGAAGCTGCTGGTTGTTCTAATTATGACGTTTAGTAAAAATGCTTTACGACGTCTACTTTCATGGCAATTGTTTCCCCGATAGGAAACAGGAATCCTGTATTCGAAATAGAAACACATGTTTTTTAGATGTACATTAATGTAATATCTGAACGCTTTGGGAGAAAAATGTCTCCAAACTCGTGATGGAGGATAATCACGTTTATCTCATTCTCGTTAGTATATTTTCAAATTAATCCGATCGAACGTGAAAAAGTATGGAGTCACCTGCCCGAAAACGTGGGGGTTTTTCCGGATACTCTCACATTAAGGCCTCTAGCGCGCTTACATGTGGGCCAGCAAGAGTGATTATTATAAGTTGAAATAACTTGTTCATATTTTTTTAAATGAATAAAGTTTATATTAATTTCAAATTGCAAAAGAAACCTGGTGTCTTTATACAATTTGAAAATTACCTCACTCAATTAGGATAACTGTGATAGTCGAACATCTATTGTTTGGGAACTTTTATGTGCAAGTTAAGAAATAATCAGTATACATGTTTAACCACTTTTGAAATTTAAGTTCAATATATAATTGTTACTTTGTAGTGACCCTTCCTGCTCTTCAAAAACTCAATAAAGCATAACTATTCTATCAAAATGTAAATATAAATAATGAATATTTTAGCAAATATTGTTATGGTCTTTTAACACACATTTCTATTGCTTACATTGTACATACCGGGCTTTATTTAGTTTCTCATCAAAAGAAATGTGTGTTATAGAACCATAACAATATTTGCTAAAACATTAACTGCTTTAATATTTACATTCCATTGCAATGCATTGAGGAGGCAAATGTTGTTATGAGACTAACAACATTTGCTATTATGACGTCATCAATCCCTATTGTGACATCATCATTTTCATTGTTGTCAACACTTATTTTCTGTTCAAAATAACTAAATAAAGAATAACTAATCTATTAAAATGTAAATCTAAGTGATGAATATTTTAGTAAATATTGTAATGGTGCTATAACACACATTTCTATTGCTGACAAACTAACATTAAGCTCTACCAGGCTTTATTAAGTTTGAACACTTTCTTATCAAAGAGGTCATCGCGATACATACGTCCTTGAACAAGTATAGTACGTTTTGTGATAACGTTGTATTCAAATCTTCCCAGGTCAGGTCTGGTGACTTATTCGTTGGTAAATGATTACTCTTTGTAGTTGACAACTTAACACCTCATCTTATCTAGCTAATCATCTGGTCTGTCACTACGGCCAGGATACAATTTTGGGCCTAGAAGTAGCGATCTCCGTAAGCCTTATGTATTAGTAGCGAACACCTAATACTTTACAAGTCGTGTTTCACGTTATATCATGACAATAACTCAAACATAGTAATGACCGACGAAGCATGCGATGAACACTATATGGTTCTTATCATTTGATTTATTTTATATGTCCTGTCGGGTAAACAGCTGATACAAATGTCTATAGTTTACTACGACAGTAGCTTGCCGGGACATGTAGTGTAACATTACTGATAAGTGGGTATATTAGGCTATATTTCTCACATGACTTCTTTGTTCAGATTGAGTTTGAATCGATTTTTCTATTCGATATACAACATACTTGATACGTATATTCATGCACACTTAGGTACGGAAAAAAAGGTAAATGAAGAACGCGTGCACAATATTTAATGATTAAACGTTTGTGAAAACCCACGTGTAACTCATTATCAGGATGTGTTTTACTCAACATCAATGTACCACCCAATATTAATTTGAACCCACAGTCCATCGATTTTACACCAATAAAAGCGTCTACTGTCGTCTAAAGCTTGCAATAATTGCCCTGACAAGTGAGTGGACAAGTTGGTTTTACTGAGATTTAGTTACAGTTTGTCTTGTATTTTTTTTAGCTGGTGCCCATTTAAAAACGAAAAGAGCCAATTGCTACTTTAGCTACCGACAGCGTGAACCCTGGTCTGAGAAATTCGAAGCTACGGCTTGACATAAAGCGAGCACATGGTTCCGGCAAAAACAAAAAGATTGTATTCATCCGCAGCATCCTAGCTTGGAGGCTTTCACTCCAGCTGCACGGGTTGTAGACACGAATTTTGACGTTTGGAGGCTGTTATTAACGTCAAAAAACATCTTTAAATCAGGAACATATTTCGCAAATAGTTCTGTATGAATTTTCGAAAACCCACTTTGAACATGCTGTTGGGTTTTTGGCGGATGGATGGGTAACTCAACAACAAGAAAATAGAAAGGGCTGTTTGGTTTTCCTTGCAATAATCACGATATGATTTCTGCAAAAATGGCTGTTAAACCATTTGGTAAAACAGTTTTGTTTACATCCACCATGAACCGACAGAAACCACACAAAGGACAACTTCGCGTTTTCTTTATTGTTGTGAAATGCATGTTTCGAACATTTATGACGATATAAAACTCATTAACTTAAACATCTTCTCTGACCGCTTGCAATAAGCAAGACGTGTACTCAAATGTTTTATTCAAATTGTATAGTTCAAGTGTTCAAAGTTATTAGAATATTCATAAACAACCAAATCGCATAAAAATACTGATGAAAATCATAAAAAAACCACAAATAAACTCTATGATGTATGACATCTGTTCCTATAATACTGACTAGGCGTTTAAATATAATGAGTTATTACAGGATTTAGTCTTTTGTCTGAATTGTTGATTGCAGTATAACTTCTGTCAAGCACAGAGTATTTATTCTAAACCACTAAATGGTAACTGCCACCTCATCTGAAAAAGAATACGTGAGATGGCGTCTTTAAAGTTTACATCGAAAGTGCAGCTTAACATTATCATTTAATAACTGACGAAATAATATAATTTCTGATTTCCCTGATGCAGGTTGATAAAGAGTATTGACAAGATTTATGATCTTATTGAAGACAATCTATTACTTTGTGTAATATTAAGGTCGATGGTTTGTTTATACCTATTATTGTTTTGTTGTCACTACCCCGACCTGCGCAATGAGGACGTGACATTACTCGGATTTGACCTAGATGCACAATGTATATGGTGAATTCTTTAAATATAGAATATCACGTAAAATGGTCGAGATCACAACGCGTCTTCTGTGTCCACATTATCAATAGCTGGGACTTTGGTCACCTCCTTATAGCATGTACTTAACATAACCTTACATACCAATGCCATGAAAAAGATGAGCAACCCCTCAGCGCACAGAACATACAACATGTACATGTGTGACCAGGTGTCCATCAGGTACCCTATCAGGACCGAGTTGATGGCCGAGCCCAGACATGCTGTGATGACGTAGTATGACGCTATCCTCCCCGTAACCGGGAAAAACGATTCCTCTGTCAGTGTGAATATAGAGGGAGAAATAACTGACATTCCAATACCCGCAAGTACACTACATACCCAAACCCCCTCCCCGAACCCGTACACTCCGCTGACAATGAAAACACCATTGACACCAATAAGGAGAAAACTGTGTGCTAGTACTAACTGTAAAGGTTTAAAGCACATTGCAAGAAAAATACCTACAAATCGACCAAAGGCGAACGACCCGTGGAAAAGCGAGGTTGCTATAGCACCGTTTTGTTTCGTCCATCCCATCTGCGACACACAGAAGGCCGTGAGGAAGTCGCCGTACGCATCCTCCATAGCTGTGTCTATACCGGAAATGACACCAGTCACCAGCAACGTCACTATTTTAAGCTTATTTGACAACGTTTTAGTGATGCGTGTTTCATCGTCGATATACGACACTTTGAATTTCTTCATCAATGTCAGGGAGAAAAAGACAAGAAACGGGAGTGACACGAGAAGACAAAGTCCTGATGAAATACTGTATGGAATGTAAAGGTCCGAGGAATACCGAGAGGGCAACATCTCGGTATAACAATCTGGGAAAGTGACGTTCGTATACTGAATACACGTCAAATTAACATATGCAGTTATATTTTTGGCTTGTTGTATAGACGTAATCGATGAAATATTGGTCACACTCGTGGTGTTTGTTGACATGGAAGCATATCCATAGGGAGACACATTTAAAGCGTTTTCCTTGATCGTTGACAGAAATCCTGCTGTGTCATTGAACGTAACAAGCGGAGTGGTACCCTGAGATTCCAAGCCTCCTGTGGCGCCCTCGCCCCTACTGTTACGGAGAAATGGAGTGACGACAAGGGGAGACAATATGGCACCGAACGCGAAAGAAAAGTATAGAGCCTGCATAGGTGATTCCGAATCGGATCCCCACAAAGACAGCATTTCCGCAAGGACCACTGAAACCGAGATTACAGAGCAGCCGTGAACACAAGGAAACACCAACGTTATGTTATATTTAGTACATATTGATCTGTGCAATGATAGAACATTTTCTCCCACACAAAATAATTTCGGCATGATTTCTTCATCATTGCTCCTGTTGAGAGGAAACGACATTACTGATACGTAATTAAGCCTTAAACAAATGTGCATATGCCGTCCTCTAAGCCTACTGGAATTTACAATGCTCTGAAAACTTACCATAGTCTACACAGCCCTAAAATATTTCCCATGTCTTCATTGCATTTAAACCTTACCCAAGCCTACATTGCAGTCAACCCTTACCACAGTCTACATTGCCCTCATACCTAACCCAAGTCTCCGTTGCCATCAAACCTTACCCAAGTCTCCATTGCCATCAAACCTTACCCAAGTCTCCATTGCCATCAAACGTAACCCAAGTTTCCATTGCCCTCAACCCTAACCCATGTATCCATTGCCCTCAACCCTAACCCAAGTCTACATTGCCAATAAACCTAACACAAGGCTCCAATGCCTTGAAACCTAACCGCAGTCGGCATTGCCATCAAACCTAATCCAAGTCTCCATTGCCAATAAACCTAACCCAAGTCCCCATTGCATTCAAACCTTACCCAAGTCTCCAATGCCATCAAACGTAACCCAAGCTTCCATTGCCCTCAAACCTACCCCAAGTCTACATTGCGCTCAAACCTTATCCTTGTCTATTTTGCCCTAAAACCTTATCCAGGTCTACATTGTATTCAAACCTTACCACAGTCTACATTGCCCTTAAACCTACCTAACCCAAGTATCCATTGCTATCAAACATAACCCAAATCCACCTTGCCCTCAAACCTAATCCAAGTCTCCATTGCCAATAAACCTAACACAAGGCTCCAATGCCTTGAAACCTAACACAAGTATCCATTTCTATCAAACATAACCCAAATCCACCTTGCCCTCAAACCTAATCCAAGTATCCAATGCCTTGAAACCTAACACAAGTATCCATTTCTATCAAACATAACCCAAATCCACCTTGCCCTCAAACCTAATCCAAGTCTACCTTGCCCTCAAACCTTACCCAAGTCTCCATTCCCATCAAATTTTACCCGCGTCTACATTGTCTTCAAACCTAACCCAAGTCCCCATTGCCATCAAATTTTACCCGAGTCTACATTGTCTTCAAACCTAACCCAAGTCTGCCTTGCCATCAAACCTAATCCAAGTCTCCATTGCCCTCAAACCTTACCCAAGTCTCCAATGCCATCAAACGTAACCCAAGCTTCCATTGCCCTCAAACCTATCCCAAGTATCTATTGCCCTCAAACCTAACCAATGTATCCATTGCCCTCAACCCTAACCCATGTATCCATTGCCCTCAAACCTACCCCAAGTCTCCATTGCCATCAAATTTAACCCGAGTCTACATTGTCTTCAAACCTAACCCAAGTCCCCATTGCATTCAAACCTTACCCAAGTCTACAGTGCATTCAAACCTAACCCAAATCTCCATTGCTATCAAACCTTACCCAAGTCTCCAATGCCATCAAACGTAACCCAAGTTTCCATTGCCCTCAACCCTAACCCATGTATCCATTGCCCGCAAGCCTAACCCAAGTCAACATTGCCCTCAACCTAACCCAAGTCTCCATTGCTATCAAACCTTACCAAAGTCTACATTGCCCTCAACCTAACCCAAGAATCAAATGCCTTGAAACCTAACCGCAGTCGGCATTGCCATCAAACCTAATCCAAGACTACATTGCCCTCAAACCTTGCCCCGGTATCCATTGTCCTCAAACCTAGCCGAAGGCTACATTGCCCTCAACCTAATCCAAGTATCCAATGCCTTGAAACCTAGCCCAAGTCTGCATTGCCATCAAACCTAACCCAAGTCTCCATTGCTATCAAACCTTACCAAAGTCTACATTGCCCTCAACCTAATCCAAGTATCCAATGCCTTGAAACCTAACACAAGTATCCATTTCTATCAAACATAACCCAAATCCACCTTGCCCTCAAACCTAATCCAAGTCTCCATTGCCCTCAAACCTATCCCAAGTATCTATTGCCCTCAAACCTAACCCACGTACCCATTGCCCTGAAACCTCACCCAAGTATCCATTGCTATCAAACCTAACCCAAATCCCCATTGCCCTCAAACCTAACCCATGTATCCATTGCCCTCAAACCTAATCCAAGTATCCTGTGCCATCAAACCTAACCTAAGTCTCCAATGCCTTGAAACCTAACCGCAGTCGGCATTGCCATCAAACCTAATCCAAGTCTACATTGCCATCAAACCTAACCCAAGTCCACATTGCCATCAAACCTAACCCAAGTCCACATTGTCATCAAACCTTACCCAAGTATCCATTGCAATCAAACCTAACCTAAGTATCCATTGCCCTCAAACCTAACTCAAGTCTTTATTGCAGTGAAGCCTAACCAAAGTCGAAATGATAAAAAAAATCCCGATTCAATACCCTTAGCATTTACTTTATTACCAGTTTAAATCGTCGCCGAATTTAACATTGCCCCCAATTTTTCTTCAGTCTACACATAACTTACCGGAATCCACACTGCCTCCGAAGAGGCCCTGGACACTGTGCCCCAACAGCATGGGAAGAAATTCTTCACACCAGGGAATGACTGCCATAGCTGCAGATACGCCTAAAATACTGACCCCAAGGATGAGAGTGGTGGGCAATCGGCCATACATGACGCTGGCCCCGAGAGAGCCCGCGATATGGGCGATGTTGACTGCCGTCATGTACACGGAGGCCAAGGTGAAGGTCACGTCGGTGTTGTACTGGAGATCCAGTAGAGCAGGGCCCATCTGTTCATAGGTCCAACCCTACATATACACAATTATTTAATATTTCTTCTTAAATTACTTTAGCGATCAACATAATTCTCTTAACAATTCAGTATGGAATCTATAATTTGTATTTTATACTCGTCTTTGATTCGTGTCTATGTTCTTTTATGTATCTGCAAAAGATAGCTCCATCAATGTTACTTTATCTGCTCGCGGAATATTTCATCAGTTTTAAGTATATACACATTTACTTTATTTCAGTTAACTTTGTTTGCACTGCTCTCGAAACTTACCACAGTCTACACCGCCCTCAAACATTACCCAAATCTGCTCTGTTCTTAAATCTTACTAAGGTCTATACTTCCCTCCAACATTACCAATGTCTGCACTGCCCAAATCGTACCCAAGTCTACATTGCCCTCAAACCTTATTCAAGTCTGCATGCATTCAAACATAACCCAAGTCTACATTGCGCTCAAACCTTATCCTTGTCTACTTTGCCCTAAAACCTTATCCAGGTCTACATTGTATTCAAACCTTTATACAAGTCTACATTGTATTCAAACCTTTATACAAGTCCACATTGTATTCAAACCTTTATACAAGTCTACATTGCCCTCAAACCTTATTCAAGTCTACATTGTATTCAAACCTTACCACAGTCTACATTGCCCTTAAACCTTATCCAAGTCTACATTGCCCTCAAACCTTACCCAAGTCTACATTGCCCTCAAACCTTATTCAAGTCTGCATGCATTCAAACATAACCCAAGTCTACATTGCCCTCAAACCTTATCCACGTCTACATTGTATTCAAACCTTACCACAGTCTACATTGCCCTTAAACCTTATCCAAGTCTACATTGCCCTCAAACCTTACCCAAGTCTACATTGCCCTCAAACCTTTTCCAAGTCTACATTGCATTTAAGCCTTACCCAAGTCTACATTCCCCTCAAACCTTATCCAAGTCTACATTGCCCTCAAACATTATCCAAGTCTACATTGCTCTCAAACCTTTTCCAAATCTACATTGCCCTCAAACCTTATCCAAGTCTACATTGCATTTAAGCCTTTCCCAAGTCTACATTGCCCTCAAACCTTATCCAAGTCTGCATTGCATTTAAGTCTTACCCACTTTTACTTTATCTCCCTTTCTTAATGTCATTTGGATTTAAGTTACACGTACATATCTTTGTATTTAATTACAATCGAATTTAATTTAAATATTTGATGAACTTATAACTTCATTTTATTTCTAATCATTATATTTCTGAAACATTCGTATAATTTCAAAATCTTGCGTTAAATATATTCTCTGAAAGAAGTGAAAGTTACCTCCCTTGTAGTGTCTTATACCCATACCAGTAAGGTGATGTTTCTCACAACTACCACGTTTCTCTAGGATCACAATAGAGACGACTGATATTAAAGTATACTCTAAAAAGGTGTGTTTCACTTTATATAAATTATCTTGCTCAAACAAATAAACCATAACAGTGTTTATAGTAACATCAGAAATGTAAGAGAATAGTTTGTCAATATTATAGAATAGAGACATTGATACGATATTACATATTTAAAGATATCTGTTTTCAAGATACAGTAGCTGTGTGTGAACATCATCAAATGCATGATTTGGCAATACTTTGGCCATTTAAGGATTTTGCAAACGTTGATGGAGCTAAGTGAATCTGTTTATTTAAACGAAGTCGAAAATGAGGATTCTTGACCGACATAGTGCACGACCGCTGTAAAGGCGCTCAAAATGTAGGTCGCATGAGTGACCTAACGAACCACGGGACACATTGATACCATTCAAGTGTTATCCCTTTGTGTTGTGAGTTTAACATCCGAGCAGGCGATACGTTTCTACTTGTACATTATCACCATTTGTTTTGCAGTTATTAGGATCGGGGTCGATGCGAAGGAGGAGACACAACTAAGCTGAGTTGGCGTGAAAAATAATAAATGGCAACAGACAAAACTGATTCCTACATCACAACCAAATGAAAGATCGCAAAAATCGAGGGAAAATAAATGTTTCGCAAAGATTGCTTCCATAGAGATATAGTACATGTAGTATAGTAATAGTAATATCAGAAATCTAGATAACTGTTGGTTCTTCAGAAGTCAGGATTACATTAGAACAGATGTCAGAATCAGGATTACATTAGAACGGATGTCAGAGTCAGGATTACATTAGAACAGATGTCAGAGCCAGGATTACATTAGAACGGATGTCAGAATCAGGATTACATTAGAACAGATGTCAGAGTCAGGATTACATTAGAACAGAGGTCAGAATCAGGATCACATTAGAACAGATGTCAAAATCATGATTACATTAGAACAGATGTCAGAATCAGGATTACATTAGAACAGATGTAAGAATCAGGACTCTTTCGCCGCGTACCTCACACTCATACAGACATTGTGTCTTCATTCATCCGACTTATACTTCGTTACACTTACAAAAACGAAGAATGCTGAACACAAGAATGCTGTATACATGACTTTCTCGACAAAAGCGCGATGTTGCCTGGGTTTGTTGAATTCTTCTTCTGCTTTGTAGGGCAGGAAAGGCGCATCACATACGTCATCGCCAGCTATCTGGGTCACGTCTCCTTCTGACTTCACGTCTTCTTCTGACTTCACGTCTCCCTCCATCTTTCCTTGAAGTCAATGTGATTTCACTTCAACATACATTACTACTCTTTTTGACGCTTTTCTGAAAAACCAAATAATAGATATTTTTCTTTATAAAATCTGTGATAAACAATCATTTAATGTCCAATGGTTATAGGAAATATTCTGACAGGATGCTAAATCTATGGAACATCAGCATTACGTGGATATCCGTTGCTATGACATGTCTTTAGATCAGTAGTCTGAAGGTTTTACCACCCCAGTACTTTATAACCAAGGTCATATTGTTAATTAAACCCCTAGCGTTAACAGAAAATAACAATATATTTGAAAAAATAAATAAACTGGTATTGGGTATATTGGGCAGTTTTTTGGTGAGAATGAGGAAATACTTCTTGACGTTTGACTTTAATGGTTTAGGTAATTATTGAGTTTGAATCAGTTTTTGACATGATGATGTTGACTGTGTTTGCAGGCGCGTAGCTAGCCCCTTTACCATATGTAAGCCCCGACATGGGGTTGCCGAAGGCAGCCCCCCCCCCCCCCCCCCCC